GTCAGCATGGAGCTGGATGACCGGCCAGGCATCGTGTAATGACTCATTGTCAGGCTTCCTGATACCAGAGGCTCGGGTATCGGGCTAGGCATCGGAGTATTTGGGTTGCCAAATACTCCGCACCGATGCCTACTAGTATCGGTATCTGTGCATCCCTAGTGAAGATCCTTTTGTTGAGAGTTGAACATTTTGTATTTAATAGCATACCATAATGATTTGTTGTTCTGGGTTACTGCAAGCTGAGTTTAAATCGGAACTCCAAACAATTAAAAAAGCAGTAACCCAACATGTTAAAACAACAAAAAAAACAGCTTTCGCTGCAATACTTGCTGCCTTTTGGTGCTGTCCCCTTATGACTTACTGCTCCACGGTATAGCTCCAGTCCGGTTCTAGATCTAATGACTTCCGGCATCATTTTAGCCACTCCAGGGGTTCATGAATATTCCTCCCGGGGGTGTGTTGCCACGTCAGCCTGGGCTCACAGTAAAATACGGCACTGACATTATGATAGTCTCTGAAGTGTTAAAGATCACCCACAGGGGGAAGAGGGAAAGAACACCAGGCCATCATGTGATCAGCCAGATTTAAGGCATGTATAAGGGGAATTTTAAATAAAATATATACACGGAAGGACTTTTTTTCTTTTTAAATGAAGGTCTGCTTAAAGTGAACCTGTTCTGTGCTTGTCCTGAATGCATACAGGGGGCGTGTTCTAGCTGCCCAGGACTTCTTTATTGAACCCAGAGATAGCCATAGTGCACCAGGACACCCAAATGCTTAAAATGTTATAGTTGCCACCCATCTGGTATTCCAATCATTGATGACCAGCCAGTTTAATGGGAATAAGCAAAAAATATTCAATATTATTTGATTTAATGGGAACTAGCTGGAGCTGTCTCCTGTATAGTACAGGTCACAAGCCCTCTCTTGGAGTACCCTTTAATACTGGCAGTGGAAGAGTTAGTGGAAATAGGTCTGGCAAGAGGGATGGCTTTAGATAAGAGCTAGTTCTCAGCACGAGAATAGCCGGAATTCCTGAGCATAGCTTTGCCATGATACTGTTTATTTAAGAACACTGTGGGTTAGCCAGTTTCCGAATATGGTAAGCTGGATTGAGGGTGTAGCTCACAGGCTGCCGCCATCATCCATGGTAAACAACAGGCCATAATTTTCAGGAACATTCTTCTGCTTTATTGCCTCCCCCTCTTGTTGTACTGTTACTTCCTGTATTCTGTAAAAACCTAGCAAAGACCCAACCTTTTCCTTTGGAGCTCCGTTGTTATTGAAACTCACATGCACATGTGTTGCGTTAGCTGCCAGCTGTCTCTTCTTACTATGGACATCCGCTGCAGGACATCCAGTAACGTGTTTTTGCATGTATGTTCATATGTGCTATCATCATCTACATGTGTTGATGGTAACCTTTTAACACACATTTTCCCTATGTAGAAAATAACAGGGAATTTAGTGAAAGATGTTCTTCCCCAGCCTGTGCTAAAATCATATCACAGTGTGCATTAGTGGGTGTTAACCCCCCCCCCCCCCCCCCGCCCCTGATTTTCCGATGTCTATGATTATTAGTT